TGCCAGTACTGGCAGTATTACTAAGAGTTATAGTAAACTGAAGTTGTATACTGGGTACTGACGATTGTTACTACCGGCAGTGTCACTAAGAGTTCTAGTAAACCGAAGTTAGATAACAGGTAGTGACGATATGCTAGTACTAAAAGCATCACTACGAGTTATAGTAAATTGAAGTTATATACTGTGTACTGATTATATGTCACTACTGGCATTATTAATAAAAGTTATAGTAAATCAAAACTAGACACCGACTACTGATGATATGCCAGTACTGGCAGTATTACTAAGAGTTCTAGTAAACTGAAGTTAGGATAACAGGTACTGTCGATATGCTAGTACTGACAGTGTCATTAATAGTTAGTAAAGAAAAGCTATATACTAGGTACTAGTGACGTTTCAGGACTGTTAGTATCATTAATACTTGGTAAAACGAAACCATATAAAAGAAAAAACGATGAATATGTACTGACAGTTACACTAAGTTTTTATATACCACTAATAAATACTGGTACTTAGGACAGGTCTTTACTAACAGTGTTACTAAAAGGAGGTACATTCATGTTATACACTGTGTATTATCTATGTAACCCTCAGAGTAACCACACTAACGTTATACGATAGGTACTGACAACGTGTCAGTATTAAATATGTTACTTTTAGTAACTACACTGACGTTATTCAATAGTTACTAACATTGTGTCATTATTAAATGTTACTAAGTGTGACTACACTAACGTTAGTGAACGGATACTAACAACATATTAATAATGACAAGACCCTAAAAATAAGCACACTGGGTAATAAAGGGGACCCAGTACTTAGACTATTACTAAGGGTAAATACACTATATTTTACAATGGTAGTGACGTGTAAAGTACTGAAAGTGTCACTAACAGTTGTTACATTGACATTATATACATGATACTAACGTTATATCAGTAATATCAGTGTGACTAAAAGTAGATACACTCACGTGTCAGTAATAACAATGTTAGCAAGTCTAAGTATATACACTGATATCTAATAACCAAACGTCAGTACTAACAATGTCACTAAACATAGGTACACATTGTTAGGAAGACCAAGTACATGCACTGATGACTAATAACCAAACGTCCATACTAACAATGTCACTAAACATAGGTACACATTGTTAGGAAGACTAAGTACATTCACTGATATCTAATAACCAAACGTCAGTACTAACAATGTCACTAAACATAGGTACACATTGTTAGGAAGACTAAGTACATACACTGATATCTAATAACCAAACGTCAGTACTAACAATGTCACTAAACATAGGTACACATTGTTAGGAAGACTAAGTACATACACTGATGACTAATAACCAAACGTCCATTCTAACAATGTCACTAAACACAGGTACACATTGTTAGGGAGACTAAGTACATACACTGATGGCTAATAACAAAACGTCAGTACTAACAATGTCACTAAACATAGGTACACATTGTTAGAAAGATTAAGCACATACACTGATGGCTAATAACAAAACGTCACTACTAACAATGTCATTAAACATAGGTACACATTCTTAGGAAGATTAAGCACATTGACAGCTGGGAGCGAAATGCCACAACTAACATTATCGACAAGAGTTTGTTTTTCAATTATACGCTGCATCGTTAGTGAATTTTAAGATGTCTGAATAACGTGCAACCATTTAACTTTTGCTATATACACAACTTGACTGATGGTATGAATATAAAATATAATGACTCCTTTTTACAACGAACTTAGAAGAAAAAACACACGGTAAAACTAGATTCTCAATGAATAACCTTTTAAAGAAGAAGTGCTTTTCTTTATTGTAACTTTGCTTTTTATAATCAATAACAAAGTCCTCGGGTAACTTTGCTTTTTATAATCAATAACAAAGTCCTCGGGTTAGGAATACAACAGAAAATGGTAGCCTGGAGGCATACGAACAGTCTCATTATCTTATTGAACGTCTGAGTACAGCTCTGAAATAAAGTGAACATAACTTTAGTTGAAGTAGGAATATTGTGTATTAAAGACGTAGAAATCTGCTAGAGGCTATAAGGAATATAATTCTATGGAATGTAGAGATATTCTATAGGATGTCAAAATATAATTCTAAGGAATATGAAGATATACTACCGACTGGAAAGAGCAAAATTATAAGGAATTTGAATATATCCTAAAAGCTGTAGGGACGAAATAATTTACCAATAGACTAGAGAGAGAGGCTGAAGGAATTTAATCATAAATAATTTACCAATACGCTATAGGTTGTAGGGAATGAACATAGTTCTAGAGGATGTAGAAATATTCTTGATGCTATAGTGAAGTTACAGGGCTGGCACAAACAAGCTTCTATATAA